ACAATAACTGATTAGTGATCCTGAGATGTGAGATGTGCGATTAAACATATTTTTTCGGATTGTGCCCGGAATTCAGCATACAAGTTCATACAGATATGATAAAAGTAGCGGCACCACACTGACTCCCGTTGGCGTCTTTATCATGAGCAGAGCTTGAGTTTTCGGCATACTATTAGCCGGATAGTGCTAAAAAGTGGGCTCTGAGCAGACGTCTTAGCTACATTTACAAAATCCACGTCTACCCATGTTATTCTTTGTCTGTCTGAAGAGGGCACGCAGCGATATGGGCAGATAGAGAGCACGCACAACCAGTGTTTAAGGTTCAGATCACTGATTATTCGGCAGGAAGGAGGAATTGAATGATTACCTGTTCGCAGACTGGTGTGAGTGCTTTTCATAATGCTCAAGTTCACAAGTTGTTGGACAGTTGACCGACTGAAGCATGCGATGACTGGTGAAACTTTTCCGCAGGCCAACGTGGGGGGGGGTAATGTCAAAGGAAATCTGCTTATTATCACTATTTTCCTACTACACTTCTGCTCACTCATTAACACAATTTTTTCACAAATACACTGCTATATATAATATTAGTTCCACCCATAAATCCTAAGAATCCCGTCTCAGATGACGTTTTCAAAACTGTCCCCAAATAAATGATCAATGCCAATTCCCATGTCAACGCCAAAAACTAACTTGGAAGAATTTTTTTTCTTCATTTTTTGAAAAGTGGTCACTCTGACAATTCCACAAAATGATAGTTCCACCTCATGTTTTGCGCTGCGTCTCATTTTTGTTGGGTAAAACTGTCTCATCATTGTGACTCTTTGCCTTTTCTAGGCTATGGCAAGAGGACATTCATTATCGGACTTTGAAAAAGGACAGATAATCGCAAAGAAGGCTCAAGGACTGTCGAACCGTCAAATCGCACGGGATTTGGGCCGCAGTCATCATGTTATCAATAATTTTGTCAGGCAGAATGTCCTCTTGCTCTTGCTTGTTTCTGTTTTGGCTGCAGGATATGGAATTAAGGAGAGCTCTGGACGTCCTTCTTAGCTCTCTGATCGGTTTAAGCGCCGAATTTCAAGAGAGGCATCAAATTCTATAATGTCCTGTTGGGAACTAAAGTCAACATAAGCATAACGTCTCAGAGGAAACTGTTCGGCGTGTCTTGAAGAAGTCTGAGTTCATTCTCAGGAGGAAAATGAGGAAGGCACCGTTTCTGACAGAAATGCATCGTGAAAAGCGAATCGACTTTGCTAGGAGATGTTGCCGAACCGATTGGAGTAAGGTTAGCTTATGGCAGCGGTGCCCTACTGCTTGTCTGTCTTGCTTTTCAGTTTTTTTTTCTCCAGGTCTTGTTTCCTTATAAAATTCAACTGCAACGGGCCAGACGGAAATCGATTCTATTGGCACGATCTTAGGGAAGAAAAGCGTTATTTCTTCAAGGCGGAACTTCGTAGGAGTGGTATTATGGTCCGGGCTGCCTTCACATCGGCGAAACGTCTAGAGTTGTGTTTTGTTTCAAAAAATGAAATCTTTCGAGTGTGTAGACGTTATGCGACGAGGTCTCCTACCTTTTGGCGTAGAAATCAGCAAGAAGAGTCCTGTTTTCATGCAAGATAATGCACCAGTTCATGACAGTCGAAGCACTCGAGCGTGGTTCAGTCGTCACCAAACCGCTCTTTTGCCCTGGCCAGCGAATAGCCCCGACTAAACCCAATCGAGAATGTGTGGGGCTTCATGGTGCGTAAGATCTATGCGAACAATGCACGATTCCACAATGTCCGTGAGCTTAAGGAGTCAATCATTGATGCATGGCACCATGTCGACCGAAAGCTTATTGAAAACCTCTATTCGAGCATGGACAACCGCATTTTCCAACTTATTCGAAGAAATAGACTCCAATAGATTACTGAGGCAATAATTTATTCAGTTTCTTGTACACTTGTAGTTGGATTGATCGAATCGATTTGTTTGGTGGAACTATCATTTTGTGGAATTGTCAGAGTCACCACTTTTCAAAAAAATGATGAATAATGAGTTATTCTATCAAGTTAGTTTTTGGTGTTGACATTTTGTTGGGAATTGGCATGAGTATTAACCACAATTCCTACTTGGAGGCATTTTCGAAAAGGTCGTTCAAAGCGGGATTTTGTAAGATTTACGGTGGAACTATAATTAGGTGGAGCAGTGTACTTGAGCAACATCATTGACCAATACCTTTTATTGTGGAAGTCTACGGTTTGCAAAACAGCTCCGTCACATTCAAACTCTATTCCCTCTGACCATTTCGTTTGAAGGAAAAAATGCACTGCTTGACTCTTTAACGCAGTGGTGGTGTCTCTCCTGCTATAACGATCAGAAAATAGCAACACTAGTAGGATCTAATCTGAAACAAAGACCACAAGTGTTCCGTCTCTTAGGGGCTCTTCGACTGCCTCCCTGGTTAGAGCGCACGTCGTAAACTTGCACTCTACTGCCCCATGCTTAAAACGTTTCTATGATTTTTAATTTCGGGTTGTATACGCCTGAGACGATGTGCAGTGTGTGCATGCTACTAACAGTACACTCCATTTTACGTTTTGGAACTATTAGCTTGGCGGAAAAGTTCTGTCACTTTTTCGAACTCAAAATACTTGTCCATTACCTGAAGAGGGGTGAACGGTAATGTGAGCACTTATACATCAAAGAGTGGTCTTTCTATTAGTACCACTCGCTTGATTCCTGCTTCTTCTTCTTCTGCAATATGGACAAGAATGTTATCCGCTACCATCGCCACCGACCCCTCCAAATGCTTCTGATAGTGCAGCGCACTTCCAAAAAAGTTCTAGCCGTTCCTCATGCAATAGAGCTGGATGGCTCTCCCCTTGCAGTGGTGTAGCACAGACATTGCTCCTTCTAACTGCGAGTTGCCTCCCGTAATCAATCATTACTGGACGAGAAATTACGAGAAAACCTCGAAAAGTCTGAGTTCAAGCCAAGATTGAGATGATGTCCAACTTTGTATCGCGCCTCCCTGCATTGTGAAGCGATGGCATCCATGAGGTGCTCAAAAACAGGCAAGGACCCCGCAGTAACATTGCTGTACAATTTTGATCTTACACGCCTCTCTATAAAAAGAAAGCCCAATTTGAAAAAAGTGACAGAACTTTCCCGCCAACCTAATACAATAGACAAATACAATTACTTCTCCTGAAATTACAATCCTGCGCGGAAAAACAACGACGATAAGCGCACCATCATGAACTGGGCCATCTGCCGGGGTTCAGTCAACTGGCATTGAAGAGTTGAATGGTGTGTGTTGCTGTACACCTGGGCGTGACATTATGTCGTAGAACCCTTCTTAATGCCCATTTGTGCTCAGAAGGTCACTCTATGATTTTTCAGTGTTTTACTTATTTTGTAATCAATATGATCATAGCGGGTCTGCTTACGATGAACAATCTTTGGATAGCTGTTCCATGTGCCCTTGATAGATGAGAGTTTGTCAGGTACTTGTTCGAGTGCTCTCTTATAGAAAAGGTTCCACCACCGTTTTCGAACTTTCTTTTCTCATTAAAAAAAGTTCCACCACCGTTCCCTATCTTTCTTTTTTCAGCACAGACCTGTCGATGGTATTGTTGGCCACCCCAAACACAATAGCTTTCTTCGGATATATACTCTCAGCACTGTCTTTCGCCATTAATAATCTAATCGAATAGGAGTAACCATATCAGTAAGATTCTCTGAGAAAAAGCTCTGGATTAGGGTACGTTCCCAGCAAGGTACTAATTGGAAAGGGTGAAAAGCGGGGTCTGTGGTGCGTGTAAAAGCGGTGTCAGTGATGTCAGTACCACTCCTCCGCCCAGTAGTATCTTCGTATAAGGTCCCTTTGCCACCTACCTCCATCTTCCGAGGTCTCCAAAACTTTGTCCAATTAGGGAAGGGTAAGTGTTGGAATCGTATGCGAACAATTATTGTTTGCTGCGCCGCCAACTAGGGTGTGCATAGCATTAGTGAATGCGCTTGTAACGGGAGAAATCAGCAGTAGCACATTTTCGCTAAGGGCAGGTATGTCCCTCTATCCATTGACCGAAAGGGAACAGCTGGTGAGATCCTCACAGTGTTGCTGGCAAATCACCACTTGACTGCAATTCCACACGCATACGTTTCGGTTCGGAACCTCCAGCATCAAATGGCATCCAACACTTGAAGAAAGCGAAAAAACCAAAACAAAGTTCGCAATACTACACGTACAGCATGCGAAAACCCCGCGCGAGGTAGTGGTTACGGTGTGTTGCACCGGAGAGTTGTTGTTCCAGAAAAACGGCATCGTCGGTGAATTGAAGCGGCGTCAACATCGTATTGTTGGGGGTAACATCTCACCGAGTCTGATGGCAGGTGTTAGCTAAGGCACCCCTTTGCTCGTACCGCGGAAAACAGGTTTATCAAAAAAGTAAAGAAAGCATTCAGTTCCTGCTCACGAGCCCATGGTTAATCACGTTTATGTTGACATGTGGCACTACGGCGATTGGTTGTTTGAAGAGATTCAACCGATATGCTCTTGGATATACCTACGAGTGCTCCCAGTTGTGATATTTTGTGTGAGTTCTTATCTTCTGTGCATTAGCTCGCTAGCGCATCGCAGGGTGACCGTTCTAAAAGAACGTTGCTAGAAACTCAGAAGAAATTGTGGTTTACTTCCTGTCAGCGGATAAAGGAAATGAAGTCATGCACTAGCATGAAGTCGATGCGATCCGAGGAGGTCACAGGAGATCAATAGATGGGGAAAGCCGGACACAGGCGCAGGCCGACTTGCGGGGCAAAAAATAACTCAATTACTAGATTGTAATGACTCAATTTCACATTGAGTTTGTTGGTGAACTAGTCCGCATGCTCCTGTGCAGCGATACCGTTCTTTGATATTTGTAACACAGCCTAGCTTCCCCGTCATGACCAACTTTTTAGATGGATTCAGCTTCATCGATGTGAATTTTCATGTTGGTTTGCTGGTCCCAGTGATGATGCTTATCATTCACATTTTTGTCCTTATATCTATTTATCGGAATCGCAAAAAGAGAAGCGACTTCCAACAACGGCATGCGCTTGCTGACGCAAAACTGGTTGGTTTGACAATTTTCAAGGAGATGTGCTCAGTTGCTGTGAATTGTGACAGCTACTTGAACAAGCCCTTTGCAGGCAGTTCAGTTCACTGTTATATGCCTTTCTCAGAATATGTCAGCTTTACTATTCTTTTTCGTGCCACGAATGAATGAGCCCTCAGTTTCAAGTATTGTTGCCCTAAATATAATAGGTTTGTGAATGAATTTGGATGTCTCTTTCAAGTTCGAACTCCTGCTGATATTTTGTGAGAGGACTGACCTCTATCGAGGAGATTTACTTTTCAGCCGGCCCTCACCATCTCCTCGATATTGATCATACATGTGCTCCATACCCCGAAGCGATGCAGGATGCTTCTTTTGCGAGAAAATTCTATCTGAGGCAATTCATCCTCTGTCTCCTGATGCATAAAAACATGATATCAATTACCGAAACGGCAGTGTCCCGCCAAAACCACAGTCACCAGCGCATTGCGCATTCGTGTACTACTCGTCATGAGGTATATGGAATGTCATCGCCCTTGTGTGCCCTTGTCTGGATATAACGAAATCTGAAAGAATTTCACCGACCGACGGAACTCTTCACTGAGATGGATCGTCACTACTGATCCCTGTGAACAAGAGCTGTTCATCAGCCAGCAACTCGGCACAAGTGTAGCTGGGAGAGGGAGGAAAAAGGAGCGGTCGATAAATCGGACGCGCTTCTATATCTCTTCTCGAAAAGGTTTGAGCATGAAGCACGGACAACGGGAGGCGCCGAAGGATAGTCTCGCACCAAAGACGTGTCTGCCACTGGGATTGAGAGTTAATAAGAGGAAGGAATACGTAGGCGCTGCCAGTGGCCCCACCTCCCCACCCCCACTTCTTCCATTACGTTAGCGCGAGCACGACCGTTACCGTGTCTTTAAGCAAGAGGTGCAGTCAATAGTCCCACTGGTTAAGGTTCAAAAGTCGTCGGCCTCACGATGTTCTGCATGTTTGCACGACAATTTTGTACGACGACATTTCGCAAAGCACTGAATATACTTATTAGTCTGCTTGCCTTCCACTTATAAAACCAGATATGGATTTTACATTCAGAGCATTCAACCATTTCTGTGGGGAAAAACAGCAAAGGTTCCTTCATAATACAGCGCCTCCATATTGAGCGGTTCTAAGCAGCAATGGGGTGACCATTTCCTTCTCACAGCGAGTTCCAGCAAACTAACGTGCCCACTTGCAGTACCGCGAGCGATAGTGTAATGATTCTCTCTGTTGGTCATTCACAGTACTCCATCTGGTGCCCTGTATCGAACGGGAAGTCAATGTCAGCACTAAACGAAATAAGGTTACTTCTCTTCCAACACCGATTTCTTCTATTTCAGATCCTATCAACAGTAAATCCGGTTGTTCTACTTTTGTTCAATCGACAAGTTCGTTGTGGCATTCGATCCATCTTCTCACGGGAAAGTAAAGCGGTAGTCACTGGAATGAAACCACATCACAATTCGTCAACTCGAGCAAGCGATCAGACCAACATTCAAAGGATCTCCGGCTCCAAGTGCAATTCACATCACATTTGAACCTTTTGATTATCTATAGTCAAGAGAATGTCATTTGAATGCAAGCAAAGTTATACATAGTTGTTCATACGTGCAGAGATGTGTGCTTATGATATTCTTAGAAACAAGCTGGAAGTGTTGACCACAGAAGAGGAGCAATTACAAACGCAAGCAAAACGAGAAACAAAGAATAGCTGAGTTGCTTCTGCCTTGTCATAGGTTTTGTTCAGAGAATGAATCAAATGCTTCTGTTCGCTAATTGCGATTGATCCAGGAGTGCGAGTAATGGATATATGTGCCGCACAAGAGTTCTGATTTAGCTTTGTTGACCTTTTTGTAGTAAAATAACAGTGCAACCTTGCCCCAGAACTTCTTCCAATATGACACCTTCCCACCATTGTACCTGCCATTTTCCTGAAATTTCTCAACTTGCCACCAGTTTTCCAAGACTCTCTCCAAAGAAGCCGCCAAGCAGCGCAGGAGGGAGGAGAAAGACTGCATATAGCGAACACGAAATGGTGAATGCCGAAAAAGTCAAAAACTGAAAAAATCCTCAAAATTAAATGCTCCGCATGCAGTCCATGCACCATCAGGTTAATGACATGCAAAAAACATAGAGCACAGAAAAGTGAATAACAAAGACCAAGAACAAAAACATTAACTCAGACCACGTGATGATTGAAACTGGGGCCAATCTCAGCACCATTGCCAACGCAGCGCAAACTCGCGTTGGAAGAGGCTATTCTTAGAAGTAGGGTCAGCTAACAGGAAGTACCCTTACAAATTCTCAAAAACGAGTATTTGTGAAATGGACAGTGCTCCAGTGTAAGAAATGTGGTTGGATGATACTTCAAACAGTATCTTGGCGGGTGGTATTCTGAGTCACTGAGAAGCTTCATTACCGCCCATTCCACAAAACTCACTCAAAGATATGTATATTCCTTATCCCTTAGTTGAAGTAGGCGTGGCTTTTGAGCATGGCATAGGACGGGTTTCTCGTGGGATACTTCAATTTGAAACAACTGCTATCTTGTTCTGTGTTAGATGTAGACATGATTACGACTGCTCCAAAATGACAGTATCTCACGAAAACCTGAGGCCGCCGCCATTTGAAACCAAGTAGGCAGCCACGCTACCCGATCTCAGGGATTTCGAGTATATGTCTTCAGGACTCACAGTCTCGTTAAGTGAAATATATAGTTCGTCGTCGATCAACCTCGGAGCTTCTAACTGTAAAGAAATTTTTTTACAAGCAAATGTTTTTATTTACAGCAGTTTTACAAGCAGTTAGAAGCTACTGTTACAAGCAGATGTTTTCATATACCGCAGATGGCAGATGTTTTGACAGGTTACCCACGAAGCTGTTTGTGTTGTGTTGTGCAAACATCTACGTACTTATGGACTTTTGCTAACTATTTATATTGTTAAATTATAATTTTACTATTTTGTAATCTTCCTCCGGGTTCTCTACAGCGTTGGTCCTGCTTCCTCTCCACCTCGCAAGTCTAAGAAATGTTGGCGCTTTTGCGCTTCAAGTGCTGATGCTACTCTTCTCCACAGTTCCCCCCCTCTCAAAGGCAGTTGGCACGATAAATCCCCAAGGCGACTAGGATCAATTCTCCTGGCAGGATAGAATTCCGCGACCCTGGGCAGGCGCTGCTTGGCGGTTTCCCTGAGAAAGGTGCCCTTTTAAGGGCCCTATCAAGCTACAACTTTTACAATCCCAACGCCCACCACGCCCGCCCACAAATGGACGACCTGACGCTCGTATTCATTCATTTGCTAAGCAAATTATGAAGCGAAGGGATTGGTATGAAGCGGCCGTGATGCTGCATGCATACATGGGTACACATATGCAGCCGTATCTTCGGTAGCGGTGATTGGTAAGATGCCTACGGGAAACTCGTCCGAAATCGATTTACAAGTCACTGAGAACGGAGGCTTTTTCTTCGCAGGATTTTGACCGTTTCACTCCGTTCTTTCGCCATTTCCCCACTACAGCGCCCTACTAGCATTTTAGGCTAAGTAGGAAACCATCGTGCCAACTGCCTATAATGGAATTCCCTCAGCGGTGCTGTACCCTGTGCTAAAAGTAGACTCCTTACTTGGTTGGTTCGACATACAGTAGGGGGACCTGATTTATTAGGTTGAATAGAAAGTCTAGCTTTTCTAACAGTTATTTCAGAAAGCCTCTTACCCCAAAATGCGGTAGATAAGTCAGCCACCAGATAAGTCTGCGCGACGTGGTAGAAGCGAACCTATTCCAAGAGAAATCTGCTGAAAAACATCTCTAGAAAGTTCCAAAGTTGAGTTGAAAAAGGGAAAACGTGCGTTCACAGACGGTTGTCCAAGGTGTCACAAACTGTGAGCACCCTCAATCGACCACCCCATTTTTATTCGATTGCCCTTTTTTCATATAACTAACAGGGGACTTCAGATTGGAACCGATCCACATCAATTTTTTTCCTCAGAGTCACCAGATTCTAAATATTCTTGAGAGCCCGTTCCCTGGACTTTTGTCTTGAGACCGTCGTTTAATGTTCTCTCATGTAATGTTATTCAGTCCCTTATGAAATCCTCATCATCAAGCTTTTATTGTTTCTCATTGTGATTACATCTGCTCAGAATCAAAATTGTTTCTATTATAGGAAGTTAACATTAGATTTTCATTATAGCACCTGATTTAGTGGTCGAAAACAGCAACCGCGAGACTGTCTGACTCGGGCTGACTTATCTAAGGGAAAGGGACTTCAGTGTAATATCATTTGAGGAAGCTGTATAATTCCAGTTGCTGCCGAGAACTTTTGCACACTTTATAGGCAAATTGCCGTTTCAAATTCTCCCAAAGTTGGGAGTCTAGAATTTTAACGGGATGGCCACCTCCTTCTTGGCATAATTATCGAGTTTTGGTCTCGTAGATATCAACTCGTAGATAACACTTGAGAGTTTAGAGCTGAGAAGGGAACAGGTCCGCAGTGTGTAGAATACGGATTAGCACTCTCCAACAGTGGTTTGTGGAGTTTTTGACAAGTCATCTTTGCCACAAGGGCCGAGCACTGCTGTGAAAGTGGTTCCTGAGGATTGCATTAGCTATCTTCTATTAGGTTGTTCGAAAAGTCCTGCGACACTTTGACCAAATTTTTCGAACTAAATTTCTGGTCAGTAAAGGACATCTCCAATCTACAAGGTAACCGCAGTTGATGACTAGGACTAGTGCCTTTCTTTTGCACAGCTTCTCATTTCCATTCTCATAGAACTACGGCAACTGTGGTAAAAAGAAGAGGTGGACCTCATTCTCGAGTTGAGGTTGATTTTCGGAACTTTTGCTTTTTGAAGGATGCGATAGTGACCAAAGGAGGTGGTAATTAGAGGCTGCTAACTTTGTTAAATAACCTGAGTACGGTCGCATTCTCTGATCGAAATGCATGATCTTTTGGCGTAGCCTGATCCCCACAGCGGTCCTCGCATTACCGAGTAGTAGAGAAAAATTGAGTATTTCTGAATGAATTCAAGCGTGACGTCATCCATATTTTGAAGTCGATTAAGGTGGACTGTGGTCCTGTATCAATGGTGCTGGTATCCAGTGATACCGCTTTGAAGTCCCACCAATAACACACTGAAATCTTTATCCCATGCACATCTGCTTTTGGCTAAGCAATCTACTTTTCTGTTTGAGAGATCCTGCAAGGGACATGTGCATGATGTACGCAAGGACTCCACCACTCGCTACCAACCACAAGATCTCACAAAAGTTCCTACGCTGTGTACAAGGAAAAGAAAACTCAATCACGGTCATTCGGTATGACTTGTCAGACGGGTCCAACTCATGAGGCATCCTTCACATGCTGGGCTTGTTGTGGGGCATAAATTTTTTTCCGATAACCGAGATTGCGGAGAAGCATGGCAGTTGTCAGTCAGGTGGAGCCTAGAGAGGTTGCCAACATTACTGGTGGTTACGTTCGGCTGCGCCTCAAGAGGCTTGAGTA